TTAAGAGTTCTCGGAGTTGGGTTCGCGTGAAAGGGATGAGGGTTTAAGGGTTGGGGTTTTTGGTGCTTTTGGGTTTAGGTTTTAGGGTTTAAGGGTTTAAGGGTTTAGGTTTTAGGGTTTTCGGGTTTTGGGGCTTAGGGTTTAGGGTTTAAGGTTGGCTTTAGGGCTTTCAGGTTTAAGCAGGACCTGTTGTGCCATTGAGGTTCATAGACCAGATCTTCGCGAAGCTCACTTCCTTTCCTGGGGCCAGTACGATTTCCAGTGCCAGTAGCAGTACCTGTACTCGTACTCGAAATCGTGCTTACTTATCGCTTCTCCTGCTACGAAGACGACTGTTTCACAAATGGGCGGACCAGACTCTGGAGTAGGTTTTAGGTGGACTTTCCTCCTGTTTCCTCCTCTTCCGGTGCATCTGTAGAGGGCATGAAAGACGACAACCCGACTCTGGGGTTCTCTAGTTTTCCTAAACCCTGCACCCTAAACCCTGAAGCCCTAAACCCTAAGCCCTTAAACCCTAAGCCCTTAAACCCTTAAACCCTTAAACCCTAAAACCCTAAGCCCTCTTGGGATGCTCTTACCTTCCCTCTGTGGCGGCCGAGGCCCCCCGAAAGATCCTGAGACCAACTTTGGCCTCCCGAAGACCTCTTTGAAAGCCTCGGGTCTATGCCCCCAAAACTTTACTGTAGGGTTTAGTTTAGGGTTTAGGGTTTAGGGTTTAGTTTAGGGTTCAGTTAGGGTTTAGGGTTTAGTTTAGTTTAGGGTTTGGAGTTGAGGGTTTAGGGTTTCCTATTTTCAGGGTACTATAGGAGCCTGAATAATTACCAATACTTCTTTTGGGGGACTTCTTGTTATACTTATAGTGACACATACGCCAAAAGCCGTATTGGAATTATTAAGGCCCCTTTGTCTGTCCTTTCAATCCCCTGATGAGGGCTGAGGGGTTCGGGTTTAGTATTTCGGGGCAGCACCCACAGCCCGCAACCCAAAAACCCCAAAGCTCTCAAACTGTACTTTAAGGGGGCCTGAGTAACTACCCATACTTTTCTCCTTGGGGATCCTCCTTGTAATGATAGTAGATGATATTACTTCAATACCTTACTGTAGCTATAAGGGTATAAGGCCATTACATGACACTTAAGAGCAGGATCTACCCTTCGGCAAGCAGTTTGGGACGCTGCGCGACAATGAGGCCCTCTGGTATCACGGCGGTGTGCAGTTTATGCGTGTGATCATGGCAAGATGAACCTGAGTATGATACTGAAATAGTATTCCTCCTCATCTCGCATTTTCGCCTCCTCCTCCTCCTCCTAATCATCACCACCGTCATCATCGTCTTCGTCTTCATCTTCGTCTTTGTCTTCGTCTTCGTCTGCATCATCATCTGGTGCATCTTCATCTTCATCTTAATCTTCATCTTCATCCTCACCCCCATCCTCATCCTCATCATCATCATCATAGTCATCTTCATCATCGTCACCTTCATCATCGTCATCGTCATCGTCATCATCATCCTCATCATCATCATCATCATCATCGTCATCGTCATCGTCACCATCATCGTCATCGTCATCGTCATCATCATCGTCACCTCGATATTGAGTTCACGAAGGTCATAGTCAACAAGTCTAACTGCGAAACAACTCGGAAAATCCTAAGCGCGCTATGAAAGCATGGTCTTAAAGGAAGCCTTAAAGGACTAAAGGAGCCCCTAAGGGACCTTAAAGGAAGCCTTAAAGGAAGCCTTAAAGGAACCCTTAAAGGAACCCTTAAAAGAAGCCCTAGAGGAAGCCTGAAAGGCCCTCTACCCTGCCGTGCTGGCGGAGATGTCCCGCGTGCTGCGCCCGGGGGGCTTGGCTGTGCTCCTGACGAGTCAGGAGCTCCGGTTTGAGAACTAGGGCTCCTTTGAGGAGTTGCTTTAAGGGTTTTCTTTAATAGCACTCCTTGAAGGGTTCTGCAGGGTTTGGGAAGTTTCGGAAGTTTGGGGATTTGGGGCGTTTGGAGGGTTAAATTGGCATGGGGAGTCAAGGTTTTTGGGTTTGAACGCTGAGGTTTTTTCTTAGGGGCCAAATAACTTACCAGTACGATTCTGGGGTTTCTGAACGGACTTGTAGTAATTATTCAGGCCCCTATGTTGTGGCGGCTCAGGTGTTTGCAGCAAGGGGAGGCTTCAGAGGGTCGTTTGGGGTTTTGGATTTAGGGTTTGAGGGTGTAGGGTTTAGGGTTTAGATGTAGGACAGAAGGGGGTTCCAGTTGGGACTTTCTCTGGAAACCTCAGCAATTGCAGCAGTCTTCCTTCCTTCGGCTCTTTCGGACGTGCGGTACAACAGGCACCTCCAAAACCTTCCCGGGCTTTTTGGGACAAGATTTGGGGATGGCTGAATCGAATCGTGAAGGACACGCCACTAAAGGGCACGTGCCTCTGGCATCACTCAGATCTCATCAATAGTTCTCAAGCTCTGGCCATAAAGACCACAAATTATCAATCCTTTCAAACATACTCTCGCACATGACACCCCATTCAAACCCTGAAGCCCCCTAAACTCTAAACCACAAACCCTAAATCCTAACCTTAAACCATAAACCCTTAAACCTTAAACCCTAAACCCTATTCTAGCAATTGTGAAGGCTCTTCCGTGATGGGATGCTCTGGGTTGGTCTTAAGCGTGTTCAGCAGGAGAGTTGACATCAGTTCGAAGAGGGTTTGGGGTTTAGGGTTTAGGGGTGCGCCAGAAAGAAGAAGTGCTACTCCATCCTCAATCCGATGTGCCACTTTGCAAGGGAAGCCTTCAACCAGTATCCCACCGCCCTTTGATCTGGGAAGCATGCCAAGAGCATACGTGGTGAGCTACACGGTGCCATGAAGTGATTCGCACAGACATTGTGGATCACCGGTCTAGTTTGGGGACTTTAATAACTAGAACAGGACTTGGGGTATTTCGGGTATAGTCTGTGTGTCAAATATATGTGTATATATATATAGCACACTGTTGCAAATATAGAACTGGAGGGGGATAGAGTTTCAATCATTTAGACCTCAAGCCCGGTGGTTCAGGGGTTTCAAGCTCAGGTTCGCAGTGTGGGGACTAGGATGCAGAACCCAGACCCTGAAAGCATGATTCAAGAATCCTCCATGTGGTCTTATGGAGAAAGTCGAGCACCTTTGAACTTCAAGCCCTAATTTAAACCCGAAGCCCTACACCGTTGAACCTTAAAGACTTTAAACACGTCTACACCCTGAGCCCTAAGTCGCAAACATTATAGTAACCCTTATTGTGGCCCTTATAGTAACCCGTCTAGCAACTAAGGCTGCTAATTTCGGCAAAAGAGACCCCAAACCCCAGGAGAACCGCGCTGTGGTCCAGGCGGCACTGTCCACGGTATCCCTGGGCCAAGCTTCTGGGTTCTTGTTAAGGAATCTTTAAGAAACCCCTAAAGCCAAAACCCTAAACTCTGAAAGGAACCCATTGAAGGAACAATAGAGATCCCTACAAAGGTGGTGTAGGGATTTCGCTTATCTAGCGAGTTCAGGGTTTAGGGTGAGGGAATCTAGGAAACCCAGATGCGCCCTGAGTTCTTTTGATTTTGGGGGGCTTCGTGTCAAAATCGTAAGGCAAATGGTGCCCTCAGTATTATTGGGCACCGGGGCGCCCATTGTCAGTGGACTTTAAGTTTTCATGAAGGGTACTCGCATGATCGCATGCATAGGTTGCCGACTATAGGAACTCAGGTGTTTCGGGTAGAGGTTTTAGTGTTTCGGGTTTTGTGTTTATATAATATAGGGTTCGAATCAACTAGTAATAATCTCCCAGCCCTATGATAACTCGTAAGTCCCCTAAAGACATCCCCATTCTGGCAACTTTCACTAGACTCTAAACCCTAGGCCCTAAACCGTGAAGCACATCATGGCCTCTCTCTCTAGGATGCCATGCAGCGACTTGGGGAGAAAAGGCGTTCAACCACAACACGTATTCTTATGGCAACGTAAGCAACCCTAAACCCTAAACCCTATAGACCTTAAACCCTAGACCCTAAACCCTGAACCCTAAACCCTAAGCCCTAAACCAAGTTGCTTAACAAGAGCCCAGGCTTGGTCCCTTGAGCACCGGCGCAGCTTCCGGCTCTTCGTGAAGACGGATGCGTGCTTGGGTCGTTTAAAGGCACAAACTCATCTAGAAGCCTGATTGATTACCAATACTATTCCTTAGGGTTCCTACTATAAGTTATAAGTATAGTCGAATATAACCCAAGACAATGTGATAATTCAGACTCCTATATTCGTCTGGACGCCCAAAGTACCTCTGCCAGAAACGGCTTAAGTTTTAGGGTTTAGGGCTTGGGACAGGGCTGAAGCTTTAGCGTTTTGGATGTGCCGGAACCCTAAACCCTAAACCTAAAACCGTAAGCCCTAAGCCCTGAGGCGTAATACTCGGAACTGTCCAGGCCCCTCTGTCAGTCAGCAGGCGCACGAAACTAAAACGCCCGGTAAGCCCAATGCAACAGCCATGCCAAGGTCCCTAAAATCCTTTCAGGGTTTAGGGTTTAGGGTTTTCGGTTTAGGGTTGAGGGTTTGGGGTGTAGGGTTTAGGGTTTAGGGTTGGGGCTCCCCTTCGATCCTATAAAGCTTCTCCAAATATGTACAGGCTAAAGCCTCAGACCCTAAAGTCACGCAGATCTCTAGTCCATAATGCCGTGGTTCAGGGTTTAGGGTTGCGGAGGGTTTTGATCAGAATCTACTCTCGGATGGCGCGGTCTATCAGATTTCTTAGCCGGGATAAGACAGCCTGGTGGGATTATGAGCCCAGTGCCTAAACCCTAAACCCAGCTTGGCCCCTGCACCGCTCTGGGTGCCTCGGCCAACCTGGCATTCTAACCGACGGCTTTACTGGAGGGACGCACAAGGGGCTTTAAAAGATAAGAAAACGGCTTAGGGTTCAGCCCTGAACCCCTAAACCCTAATCCCCTACACCCTAAACCCTAAACCCTATACCCTAATCCCCGAGGTGCATCTACCTCCTCCGGCGGACAGAGGCGGCAGCGGCGGCCTCCTCCCAGGCCGTTCTTTCCACGGAGGCCGCGCTGGCGGAGCTCCGGGGCTCGGGCGCCCGAGCTCCTCTGAGCTTTCGCTTCGAAGGGTCTTGGGGCGCCTTCGCCTGGGAGGACGGGAGGGGGATTGAGGGTTTTCGGGCCCTCTGAGCGGGTTTTGGCCTCTTATTTGTTTGTGTAGGGTTGGGGATTTTAGGCCTCGGATGAGGAGACAAGGGGCGATTTTAGGGTGGTTCTCCGTTAGGTCCTTACCCAAACTCCAATATCCCTAGATTCCAAGAACCCTCTAAACCCTAAACCCCAAACCCTAAACCCTAAACCCTCTAAACCCTAAACCCTCTGGTCACCCCGAAAAAGAGCGCAACGCTCCTCCAGGACGGCTCGCCCTGGCACGAGCAATGGGCGAGAGATCGACCTGCTCTGGTGGCCTTTGGGCAGAAGGACGGCCAGCGAAGAAGCCAGTGCGAAAAAGCTGCGAACGTGGGGAGGGGTTAGGATTCAGGATATCCGCCGATGAGGGTTAATTAAGGGTTTCGGAAATCACGAGTTTGCGGTTTGTGTATGGAGACGTTGGGATTTAAAGTGAGGTCCCGCCTGGGCCTAGGTGCGTGATATTTTGGTTACCTCTTTGAATCCCCTCCTCCTTCCAAGCTACAGGTGGCTCAGCCTCAATTCCCTTCCGAGTCCTGACAAGACGCAAAGACCGCCAACAAACCATGAAGCCGCACGCCTTTAACTCCCAATGCCCTAAACCCCTCAATCCTAAACCCTAAATTCCTCAATCCT